TGTGTGTGTGTGTGTGTGTGTGTGTTGCCAGATTCTTTTGTTTCTCTTGGTTTTAGTTTTATTATTGTGAAACCCTCCCCTCTCCCCCAGCTGTCTTTCACAAGAGAGGTGGCCATGGAATCCAATGGGTTTCCGCAAGAAGGGAAATCATCCACTCTGTTAGGTGGTTCCTAAACTTGGTAATAAATCAAAATAAAAACGTGCAGCTGATCCTCAATTTATGGTCGTCTGCCCATTATGGATCGCAGTCATGAAGGACCTTTTTCGGCTGGGCTCCTTCATTACTTCAAATGGTCGTAAGGTGATGGCTGCCTGTGGTGAACCCCCATGGCTGCCTCTGCCCTCCAGCTGTGCCTGGTGAGCTCTGGGCTGAAAGGGGGGACCGACCCAAACTCAGCCTCTCCCACTTGAGCTGAGAAGGGAAGATGGCAGAGTTCCACCCCCCCTCCCCAGAAAGGGCCACAAGTAATAAAACTTTGGCTTCTTTTCCCAAAGGTGCATTTTGCATTTTCCCCACAAAAGGCAAACTGGACTTTTTTGGGTATTTTTTTCCCTTGAAAATGTTTCGCTTCTCATCCAAGAAGCTTCTTCAGTTCTGACTGACTGGGAGGGGGAGAAAGGAAGGATTTGTATAGCGTCTCAAAGGAGAAGCCCATCAGGAGGAGAGGTCCATCTGCACCTGAAAAGACCTGGGTGGCTCTTTCGGGGACAACCACGTCCACCTTCTGGACAGAGAGGAGCCCTGGATGGAGAGAGGGGCCAAAGCGGCCATCTTTGCCAAAATGAGCAGCCTTCCAATAACAGGGGGGGAGGAAGGACCGTTTGAAAAATGGACCATTTTTGGGCCTCCTGGGGCATCTGTGTGGTCTATTTTCACATCCCCACTCTCCTGAGGCATTCTGGAGGCCAAATGCAGGCAAAAACGGTTTGTTTTTTGGCCAAAAACAGGCTATTTTTGCCTGTTTTTTGGCCTCTTGGGACTCTGTGTGCCCTCTTTTTCGCACACACCTCCAGAAGCATTCTGCAGACCAAAATGGTTGGCCTTACCTTTCAGTTCCACCCTATGGGGGTACTGGAGTTAAGTTCTGCGATTGGGGGAAGGGGGGGGGCGTGATGTGGGCGGGGCCACCTTGTGGTCCAGCGCAGGCCAGATTAATGACTTCAGCGGCCACAGGTGGCCCGTAGTTTGAGGAGCCATGATTTTCCGCAATACTTTTATTAAGGATTATATGCACAGAAAGAAAATTAATACAAATATTTGTCTGTGAATATATGAAAAAGGAAAAAAAAACCTCCGAAAAAGATAATAGGAAAAAGAAAAGTTTCTCTCTTCATCCTCAGGCAGCAGATTCAACATCAAAACTTTTATCACTAAATAAAAAGCAGATTCTTTCCACTCTTCACCCCATTTTCCCCTCTCTAAATTTTCAGTTCTCCCCTTGATCAAAAAGCCTAGTTAAAATTAACAGAAAAACCTGGTTCCTTGACTTACGACTGTAGCAACTTATGACCAGAAATTCATTCCAACTTGTGATCATACGTCAAGGACATCCTGTATTCTGCAAAACATTAAATCTACTCCCCACATACTTATAACTCTTTTGTGTAATCACTCCGGTAAATTACTAATGCCACTTTGCGAGCAAAATATTCTCACACTCCCAACATTTACACCCTTTTGCCTCATTGTGAATTCTCTGAGGTTCCTTTGCTTCTGTAGGAAAAACATTTACTCACACCAAATAATGGTAGGATTTCCCTTCTGTCACTGTGGGAAGTCCCTGGTAAACATTAAGATGTATTGGAAAAAAGTGTTTCCAGCATTCCAAGTAAACAGATTTACCTCTGCTATGGACTTTTTGATGCTTTTTCAGGTTTGATTTATTATGAAAAGGTTTCCCACACTCTGCACACTTGTGTGGCTACTCTCCTGTGTGATTTCTGGTGTGCGCGCGAAGTGTTGAAGGATGGACAAAACATTTCCCACACTCCAGACATTTATATGGTTTCTCTCCAGAGTGGATTCGTTGATGCATCACAAGAGAACCTTTCCGTGAAAAACATTTATCACATTCTGAGCATTTATGGGGCTTTTCTCCTGTATGGATTCGGCTGTGACTTCTAAGGGAACCTGAATGAGCAAATGCTCTCCCGCAGTCTAAACATTTGTAGTTTTTTTCCCCCGTGTGAGTTTTCTGATGACTTTTAAGAGCTGATGAGGTACTATAAAATCTTCCACAGTCGTTGCATTGATGTGGCTTCTCCCCTGTGTGGGTTTTATGATGACCCAAAAGGCCTCGCTTGTCTACAAAGCATTTCCCACATTCTACGCATCTGTATGGCTTCTCTCCTGCGTGGAACTGCTGATGGCGTCCAAGGTGTTGTTTTTGAGAAAAGCATTTCCCACACTCCCCACATCTGTATGGCTTCTCTCCTGCGTGGAACTGCTGATGGCGTCCAAGGTGTTGTTTTTGAGAAAAGCATTTCCCACACTCCCCACATCTGTATGGCTTCTCTCCTGCGTGGAACTGCTGATGGCGTCCAAGGTGTTGTTTTTGAGAAAAGCATTTCCCACACTCCCCACATTTGAAGGGTTTCTCCCCAGTGTGGATTCGCTGGTGAATCTGAACTTGGGCTGGTGAAATAAAGCTTTTCCCACACTCCCCACATTTGAAGG